TCTCCTGTAGTAAGGCAATTTTTTAAATATGTCCATGTGTTGCTACTAGGCACTTCTTTGAATAATTCTATTCCTTTACCTTTACATGGTAATTTAGACCAAAGTTCAAATTCTTTCAACTGTAATTTTGATCTCAAATTTAAACCAATTCTTATTTTCACTTTAAATTCAAAATCATGTGTAAAAATATCATCAATTTCTATTTGAAGTTTTTGAAGTGACATGGTAATTCTTTGGGGGATGTTTATTAGCTCGTTTACATGGCTATTTTGTACGTTTTTTTTAATTACACACATGTTTATATGCTGTATAGAACATTTTGCTCGAATTATTCCCAGACCTTTGAATCTTTTAGGGGAATATAAGAATGAATTGGGTGTGTCACTTGGTAGAGTGAGAATTTATTTTACTGCACTTCTAATAATTTTATCGATGTCCTCAAGAAATGTAATACTTATTAATTCGTTTGGTGTTACTTGCAAAACATATGTTAGTCTAGGCCAGAGGTACTGATTTATGATATTCAATTTCTGATTTTGGACTTAAAACATTAGTTCCAACTAATCTTTCTAGATCTTTTTGAAAGTTTTGTATAACTTCACACCTATCAAAAACTATTTCATTTTCAACATTTACACCAAGATATTTAATTTTTTCCCCAAGTTTTAGAGTATTGAATTTAATAACATTTTGTTCATTTTCAATGTAGTTGTCCTCTTCAACAAGTTTGCCTTTCTTAATATTAATTATTTTTGATTTATTTATATTAATATCAAGGTCAATTTGAGAAAGTAGTTCTTTTGTTGTCCTAATCAATTTAGACATTGATTTTTCTGTGTTAGAGAAAAACACTATGTCATCTGCAAAGGCAGCGATGCTAATATTGTCTAAATTAGAATTAATGTTATATCCAAATTTGTTAGATACTTTTTTTTCTGAAATAGTATTTAAGATATCATTTATAGCTACATTAAAAAAGATTGGAGAAAGGGGAGACCCTTGAAAAACACCTCTTTTCAATAAATTTTTTTTCAGATTTGGTATTTTTAATCCTAATTCTTGTATAGTTATCTTGTATTAAATTTATTAATAAGTTTTTTAATATTGAAGGCATTTCTGTTGATTGGAGACATCTTTTTAAATGTGCGTGACCAATAAAATCAAATGCCTTTGAAACATCTAACATAGCAATCATACAGTCTTTTTTATTCGTTTTTGCATCTTGTAAACAACCATTGACCAGGGCTAGGTTTATGAAGGCTCCAGGTTGAGCTACAAACCCTCTTTGGTTGACATTAAGTTCTATGTAATTTCTTGTTCTTTTCTCCAGCACTCTCTCTATCAATCTTCTAAGAGTTGAACAGACTGAAATTGGTCACCAATTAGCAGGATCAGCGGGATCATTCCCTTTATATATTAAAATAGTTTTTGCTTCTCTAAAACTTTCTGGGACTAAATTAAATTTCAACATAATATTTGTAAGATTGTCTTTAAAGTTCTGATTAACACTCGGTCAGGGCCAGGTGAACTGTCAATCAAGCTACTTTTGAATGAAACAGCTGTTAATATTTAAATTTTGATTTACTAAATTTGTCAAAATGAAGTATTTGCAATGGTTTTTGCTGATTTTAAAATCGATTTTCTTCTGAATCGTGTTATGTTTTGCAATATAATGTTCTTTACCAAATCAGTGGAAAATCCTAATATCACAGTAACTCTTAAAATGATTTCTTATGGCGTTAACTTATATCTATTGTATGGGTTGGTTTCTGCCTTTTTTACCACTTCTAGGAGATTGCACGTAGACGATATTCTTTGGTGTACCGCATCTGTAGTAAACGATACTTGGTTGGTGTCATTTTAAAAATTACAATGGAAAAAAGAGAGAAATTATGGACAATTTGATATACTAAAAATAAAACTGAATTAACACTGTGCTACATTTCTTGAGCAATAATTGAAAGTGCCGTTTGCATACAATGGAAACAGGAAAGTCATAGAACACAACAAAGTACAGTAGAAGAAATAGAAATAATGTTTTTTTTTTCCATTTATAACCGTTATTATAGACAACCTAATGCAGCTATGAGTGGGGAAAATTTGTAGAAAACGCTAAAAAAACAAGGTCAGCTTTTGGAAAAAGATAAGATATTTACAAAAGATTTTGATTATATCTAACTGCTGTGTACATCTTGAGTATTTCCATAATCTTTGAGTCGACTCTTATAAAGTCATCGGAAATTATGACTGTTATTCGTTTTAAAATAACGCCTGTAATGCTTCGCAATTGCTCGAATTCGAGCAACAGGTACACTAGTATACATTTATTTCTTAAAAGGCTGTATTTTTCAATGTGTCATTCAAAACATATGTTATGTTAATACATATTTAATAACAACATTATCTAAGGTGTCAAGACGTAAAAGGAGGAACAAATATGTGACATTAATTTCATCAAAGTCTCGTGTTTCTCCATTGAAGGTGACTTCAATTCCAAGATTGGAGCTTTGTGGCGCTTTGCTACTTAGTCAATAAGCCCAAGTTCTCATCAAAGCAATGAACATTGACGCCAATAATGTTTATTATTACCCTGACTCAACTGTTGTTCTTTGGATCAATTCGAGAACATCGATTTTGGAAAGAAGGCTCAAACCTTCGACTTGATACGAGTGTCAACTCACTCCTAGAGCTGCGTAAAGCAAATAATGTAACAGCCGTCTCTTTTCATGTTCATGGTCATGATATATTTAGCAAGTATTCATCATTGCAGAAACTTTTACAATGTTGTAGCATATTGTCTAAGGTTTTATAAAAATCCAAAATCCAAAGATTGTCTCATAGGTTCCCTTACATGTTCAGAAATAAATGAAGAATTTCTCTTATAAAACTAGCTCAATCTCATTCTCCCATGAACTGAAAACATTCAAGGAAAACAATTATGTTGATAAATCAAGCTTACAGCTAAATCCTTTTCTTGATGACCAAGGGCTAGCTGATCAGAGTAGGTGGTCGACTGAAACATTCAACTTTAAGTGTTGATATAAACATCCAATTATTCTCGATCACAAACATAGCCTAAAATGGTTAAGTGCAGAAGATCTACACATGTACTTCATGCAGGACCACAACGTTTATTGAGTTCTCTTCGAGAAACTTATTGGCCATTAAATGGTAGAAGTTTAGTTAGAAGTGGTTGACAAATGCCTGAAATACTTTAAGACTAAACTTAAGGCTACCAATCAACTAATGGGTCAACTACCTCAAAACAGAGTTTAACCTTCAAGCCTTCAAGACTATTCTCCCATTGTGGATTAGATTATTTTGGACCTGTTTATATGCAAGCTACAACAAAAGGACTAAGGTTACAAAAGCACACGTTTCTCTGTTTGTGTGTTTCACTACAAAAGGCCATTCATCATGAACTAGTTGAGGATTTAACGACAGATTCGTTCCTTGCTGCCTTAATACGGTTTGTATCTTGCAAAGGTAAACCATATGGTACAAAATTTACTCGGATAATGCTATAGTATATTTCGTACCTAGGGCCGAAAATGAGGTTTTGCCGGCTCGAGATAGTTTTTAAGTTCGAGACGAAGTCGAGAACTTAAATCGATCGAGAGCCGCAAAACCATTTCGGTCCGTGGTACGAACGCTATTTTTCACCACACTATACCCTATTACCACTATTCACCACAATAATAATGAACACTGATAGTCAACACAACTACAACTTTAAGGTTATGTGAAGAAATAATTTGAGGAATCAGCAAAAATAAAAATATATAGTTGCTAGGCAACGGTGACAATAACACAATTCTATTGAAATGCTATGGATTTTGATTATGTATTTAAAATGCATTCATGTTTTAAGTAAGTAAGCGGACAGCTGATTTTGCGGCCCCGGCCTGTAAAAACCTGCTCGGTCCCCAAATTATGGACAGCTGGCATCGCCAGCAAAACCTAACTTTCGGCCACCAATTAACGTATGTAATACAGCCAAAAACATGATAGTGTGGTGAAAAAACATTTGTTGGTGCAGACAAGGAACTACAAGAGTTTAAATATTTGTGGTGTTCAGAGTATCACAACAGCCAATTACTATCAAGCTGCACAAGGGATCACCTGGAGTTTCATCCCCACTCATTCACCAAATTTCGGAGGGCTATGGGAAGCTGGAGTGTGTTAGTGAAATACCAACTAAAGCAAGTAGTAAGTTACAAAATACAAAATTAACTTTCAATGAAATGTACACTTTATTAGTACAAATAGAAGCTTGTATCAATTCAAGCCCTTTAACACTTTTATCCAGCGATCCAAATATCCTTCCGCCCTTATCACCTGCTCATTTCTTAATTAGAACTCCTTTCACCAGTGCTCCGGAACCTAATATTAAAGATCAGAAATTAAATAGACTTTCTCGATGGCAACATGTCCAACAACTCTTACAGCATTTTTGGAACCGATGGTGCAAAGAAAATCTGAACCAACTGCAGAAAATGTCAAGGTGGAATACATCAAGACCCAACATGAAATTTTTTTTTTTGTTTATACTTATTAAATAATTAAACAATTAACAATTAAAACGACATTATAATTGTTACAGTCCACTGTTACTTTAATTTTTTTTTAAGAGGTTGGCGGCTTCTTTTAACCTTGCATTTGCCTGTCCACATAGACTACAGATCTGTGCGTGAAACGTATCCAGCAAAGCAAGGGGTGAGCCGGTACAGTACAAAGGTGAACTGTACTGATAAAATGTTTTGGCAGTGACAATCAGGATCCGAACCCCGACATCGCTGCCTTGGGCCCGAAGTCCGTGACGCTACCAACTGAGCCACCGACTCACCGAACAACACACAACATGTACTAACATTTTCTATCCTTTGTTTTACAATTTAAATCAATTTTACTTCACATTATGTTCCATTGTGCGATTGTATAATATTTTGGTAAATAAATTACTTTTTCTTATCCCAGCTTCGCATAAATTTTTGTTCCAGAGGAGAGGTCAACTACTTCCATGCCTCCATGTTCAGAATGCGTTAGTTCACTGTTACGGTGCTGCCGTCTAGGTGGAGACTCCCAGAACTACCTCAGACCCTTCTACCCCCACCCAGCCACTCTGCTGCATACTCCTCGCCCCATCAGGCCTTACACTAACCGTGAGTAACCAACCACACACAATACATACAGTAACTAAGGTATTGATACAGATATACTACCGTACCATGAATTAGACATTTCAGTAAACGGTTTGAGGAGGACTTGTAAATGGATTAGCTATATTGTTGAAGTAGTTCACTCTCATGCACTTTTTGTTAGGTCAAGGAAAATGATGATGTATCTTGCAACAGAGCCAGCCTCATCTAGTCATCTATAAACATGGTTTTCTTTACCACATCAATTCTTTGGTTGTTCCAAACAGAAAGGGCATATTCTTGCAAAAACCACCTCAACTTAGGCCTGCAATTCAATTGCATGTGATGGGACATGGGGCTATGAGAGATAATTGTGCCCTTCACAATTGTTGGGTAATTTGTCTCTTCGTTGTGTCCCCAACGCCAACGGCCCCAACAAACCTAAGACCTCTTGAGGACCCATTAATTAAAGTGGCCCTCCTGCCTCAACTGATATGTCCCTGTCAACTAACCATCATATTGTGAAAAAACAAATATAAATTAAAACTTAGCACATCAAAAACAAATAAATTTCAACAGGAAGTGTTTGGGTGTCTTACTGAATCCCTCCACAACATCCTATTGTTATTTCAATAACCTGACGACCTGGGTTGTCCAGTGATTCTGGAGAGTGAAGCACCAGAGAGGAGTCCGCTAGCTGCCAGCAACTCTGGAGGCAAGCGCAAGAGGTCCTGGTCCCGGGCGGTGTTCTCCAATCTGCAGAGGAAGGGGCTGGAGAAGAGGTTCCAACTGCAGAAGTACATCACCAAACCTGACAGACGACAACTAGCAGCCACCCTGGGGCTCACTGATGCTCAGGTAGCGTATAGTTGATAAGTTAGTCTGACGGTCACTACCGTAACACCTGAATCCATACGTAGCAGTAGAAGGGTTAAGTTAGTAGAAAAAGAACAGAAGGGATGAATCTGTCATGCATTCGTAACTGGATCCAGCTGTCCTTGATAAGGGATTTCAATAAATTAACAGATTTTGAACCAGATTATAGATTATAGAACCAGTAACAAAGCTATCATATAATCCTTTCAACACTCATCCTTCACTCATATTTTAATTTTCTGTGTTTTATTAATCTTATCTAATACAAAGAACATACTCCTCACTTGAGCTTGTGGTGGGTTCCACATTATCACATTGCTAGAAGACATCAGTCATTGGTGGGATTTAAACCTTTGTCCCCAGAACAAGAGAATCAAGCTCTAACTCAGCTTATGTGGCTCAAATTGTATAGTTTTTTATATAGGTGGAATAAAACACAGTGTTAGTTTCCTTAGTAACCAAATATTCAGTTTGAAAATTAACATCATTGCACAAGGAGCCTTTAAAAATCTAAAATCTTTCTAAATTACACTATTGATCAACTTTAGCAATAATTTTGTATAAGTTATCATGGACCAGTCAGGAAAAGCTTCTGGTGCAAAGAAAATCACCATCTTGGTACCCAAGCCTACGAGGATGCCTTACATTAACTTTGTGCAAGCTTTCCGCAATACTCACCTGGGAGAGTTCAGTCCAAAAGAAATGATAAGAGAAGCTGCTGTAGCTTGGAGGTCACTTAGTGATGGTGACAAGAAGCCATTTGTTGATCTAGCAACTACCCAGAAGGCCAAGCAGCCGCGCCAGAAGAAAGTCAAGCGGCTTAGAAGACGTAGGGCTGACAGTGAATACTCTTATTAATAGCTCCTTGCTGCTTTTCCTTGTACAAATCTTTTGTGAATGTATGACTTGAATGCTTAAAACAAAATGTCTAATTAAAGGCTTATTTTAATATAATTGTTTTGATGTGTTTAAAAAAAAGTTGAGTTTAGGTCTTAGTTGCAACTAATATTATGGTATCTTGCTTATTAACAGCCAGCTAAGGAAATAGCTACAACCAATCACAACCAACAACACAACAATACAATCAGAACCATAACATTGGTTGGTGTAATGAGTAAGGAACAACTTCAAGCCAAATTTCATCAAAATCGGATAAAAATTACTCAAGTCATCGCATTTTCGGAGGTAGTATATACAGGGTGTACAAAAAGTTCCGGGTCTGTATTGAAAATAGAGCTACAAAACTTTGCACAAAGTTTCCAGACATAAAAATCAATTTTATCACATATTCAGTGATCCGCTACCTCCTTTTATTAGTAGAATACAATGCTGCAAATTTTAGTTCAAAATAACAACTGATTAAAAAATGGCAATCGTTCAAAGATTCAAAATGGCAGATTCAAGAAGTATTTAAATGGCTGCCATTTTTTACTAGATAATCTGTTTGTGCTCAAATTTGTGCCATTGTATTCTACTAATAAAGACCTTTTATTCAATATGCACATCAAACTATCCTTACATTTTAGATATTCTTCTGACTCCTAGCGTTCCCCTGAGGAAGTAGGGTGATCACTGAATTTGTGAATATAGATTTTTATATCCAGTAGCTTTTTGCAAAGTTTTGTAGCTCCATTTTAAATATTTCACAAAATATGTAACCAACCTGGGACTTTTTGGACACAACCCTGTATGCATAATTCTATATAAAAATTGTAACAAATAGTGTTTTTGGCCTCAGGGGACATAAACATTTAAAAAGTATATTGGCTCCAGGTTTAGGTAGTTAGGCATGCCACCAACGCTAATAGCTACTTCCCAATAGGTTAATTCACTAAAAATCATCATTTATTTTAACATGTTTGCTACTGATCGCCACATATATGCGACGCTGCAGTCATTGTCACAGACGGAGATATACATTTTAATGTTACACATCTAGACCGGGTGTCCCTAGGTTCACAGTACACGCAGATCATGGGCCAGTGATATAGCAATGTAAAAATAGTTTTACCAAAGATCATACGACCTCACTAACCATCATATCCACAAACCAAGTGACGCACATATGTGGCAGACATCTCTAGTAGACCATTGCAAAAAATTCAGGGCCTTAAAACATACCATTATGAAGATATGATTATTTAAATAGCATTGGTACACCGACGCAAATTTGCAACGTCAGTCTATTTTACCAGTCTATGTGACCAGCCATCGCATATATGGGACGGCAATTCATCGGTAGAAAGAGGCCGTCCCATATGTGCGTCACTGGTCCATATGAATGACAAATTAAGTACTTTTGTGGTAGCTAACGTGTTAAACTGGATGCTTTACCTATCTGTTTCAGGTCAAAGTGTGGTTTCAGAATCGCAGAATGAAGTGGAGACACAGCAAAGAGCTTAAGTTCCATTCTGGGAACTTCGCTTCTTCCGAGTCCCAAGAAAGTTACACTTCACCTTCTTTTTCGTCCAATGTGCATGAGCGAAACAAATAAATGTATATATGTTTTTGTAAATATTAATACTGATCTCAAAGTTTACTGCTACCCAATGCTTTTTGTACACAACTATTTTTCAATAATTAAACTAATCTTGGGTTGAACACCTAAAAACGACAGATTTCCTTATAATTTCATGCACAGTGACAGTTGATAATAACATGAAATTAAATTACTGTATGTGGAGGAAATCTCATGATAACCATCAGGTTTGACTTTAGTTGGGTTAGAATTAAAATTGCTGGTAGAAAACAACTCAAAAACCAATATCATTTCCCTTATTGCTCGGTTTTTACAGAAAATTAGATAATGTAGAATGGAAATGTTATGACACAACAGCATGTACTCTTATCATCATCTCAATGCTTATGACTACCCAATTGCTTGAATTCTGTCTTTAACTTCAAGTTGTTATTGCTAACTTGCCAAGGAGTAGGTGAATAAGAAATGCAACATGATACTATTAAATTTATTTCATTGTGGTGAGTTAAGACAGTGATTGATATGATGATTGCCTTATAAAGACATTTACCTGTATCTAAAGAAATAGAACTAAGCCAGTGCAGTGCGTAAGAACAGTTATGAATTAAAAATAAATCTACCACTCCATCTGTATACAGAAAATAAAATTACATTAAACATATATTAATTACCGTAACAAATTACATGTAAAATAACATGTAATAATTACTAGTACATTGTCCCTTGAAATTCAACAACAACGGTGACCTTTTTAAAAGATTCTGTTTACAATTGAAACATGACTTGATGGTTTAGGACTTAAGCATGGGCGTCCATCAATATAAGCAATACGGGGCTCGAGAGCCCCCCCCCCTCCCTATAAGATTACATTAGGTAGCCTTATTAGACTAGCCAGACTAGTTAATCAGATTTTTAAAATATAGTGCAAAAATAAAATAAATTTACGGTAGGTACTTGACTTAAAGAAAATTTAGTTACACAAATGTGTAAAATTCTACCATTTTGTACATCAATTTGTATATGAGAACCCCTGAATCCCCTTTTTAAAGGGAGTTATTCCTTTTCCTCTAGACACCCAGTTCCCCTTATGGAGCAGCTATATGGACGTCGATGGTATGTAAAATCATAAAAATAAAGCAAATAAAGTAATAAAGTAAATAAATAATGTAAATAAAGTAAAATTATAGTGTTATAACTTTGTTATCTGTTAATTTACTATTATTTTTCAGACTAAAGGCTGCTAAACAGGTGGAGTATCGTGTTGAGTGTGTAGTGTAAAAGAACATCCAAGAAGAGTTAAATGTGTAGAGATATAAAGTCAATGGTTAAATAGACAACCTGAAGTGGAGTTGAGTGATTTCCTTCTCACATTTGTTTACTTTGCTTTTTTACGTTGAGGAAATAATACTTGTAGTCCAAAAAACTTAGTCTTTAAGGTAATTTTAAAAGTACATTTTACACAGACATGCATTCTAATCATTTGTGAGCAATGTGAAAAGTGTACTCAAATTGTGTAAATCAAGCCTTGAGAATGGTTTTTTTTCGTACAAGAGATATTAGACATAATTTCAAGCCTTCTTGACTTCCTGCACCTCCACCATGAAGAGATACAGAGAGACCAAAGTTTTGATGACCTGAAAACAATTGAAATAGTTATTCAAGCAGGTATTATAAAGCTTTTGGTTAATTTGGTTCAATACCGACACGAGTGCCTTCTCTTTCAGATTTACCTGACATAGAAATTTAATTGTCCGTCTATAATTCTGCTGTTCAAAAATATTTAATAGACCCTTTTAGTCCTTTGAGATCAGTGTAAACTTTGACTATTCATATGATACCGGGATTCGGACATTCCATTCCTTTGCTAATCATGTAACCAAGTTTAAAAATTAAAAAAGTAACTTGTTTGATTAAGCCACAAACTACAGTCGCTCCTTTCCCTAAAGGAGTTTTAATTGGTGTATAAATACCCTAAATATTTATAACCAATTCCTACCTGGTAGAAAAAATAACTTGTTTAAAACAGCATACTGTATGTTAATGTAATCTAACACATTATATTATCAGAAAAAAATAAAGCTTAGATATTAGCAAACCGCATGAAAGGCTCACTCAACTTTGTCCCTTTGAGTTAGAACTTGACTACAGAGAGTTATCAATTGAGAATAACTGTTGGTATTCAAGTGTTTGTGTGTAGAGAGTTAAACTAAGCATTTTCTACTTTAAGACACAGCATGATGAATCCAAATAGTATGCTTTGCACAGGACGGTCGTGGGTGTATTAAAATATAAACAGTGTTTATGGTGTAAAAAGAAAAGAAGATCCAACAATAACACATTGTAAAATGAGGCAAACTTACAAATACGTATGAATAGCAGTGTGAACATTGTTTTCTTTCTTATGTTTTAGTATTTCATCAGTGAAAGGGAAAATTATTGTAAACTATATCTTAACATGTTCAATATCAACTAGGCCTATCATAGTATGTAGAAAAACTAAGAGACAAGAAGAACTTAAACATTATAACAATCTGTGGGTATACCATTCATTAAGACAAGAAGAGATTGGTAGGGTATCTGAGTACCACTCCTTGCTTTGCTGTAAACGATCCACGCACGGGCGCTTAGTCTATGTGGACAGGCAAATGCAAGGTTAAAAGAGGCCGCCAACCTCATTTTTTAAAAAAAGAAAAAAAAGAAAAAGATGAGTGGTAGTGCTCATAGTAATAAAATAACCCCGCACAGCAAACCTACCGACTAAGAAAATTTCCATTTGTCTGAATTAATTTTTCAATCAAATCTATTTTCAAGGGGATCTGTCATCAGGCTCACAGATTGTGAAGTTTCTTGAGGTTTGTCTGGGAGTGAAAACCCCCAAGTGGCTGGTCCACATTAGACAGCAAGGTCCCCCTTAATAATAAGTCGAGGCTCAAGAGATAGGATGTCTACTTAAACACTCCAAGACAGATTCAATGCGATTAACAGCTGCTAAACCTACCCATGTGAAGGTTGTACAACTGAGTGGCATGCTGGGAACTCCGATGACACAAGCCTGTACTCTGGTGTTGACTCTCTGTAGCACCAGCACCAAACTTTTGCGGAACTGAGGGGAACATTCATACCACGGACCATGGACAAGGGGAGCTGCTACACTGCCACTCTGAAAGATTGAGAGACACCAGTTCAGTGTCTTACAAGTTACAAAATTAATGCTTATACTCAGATTACTCTAGAATTACCTTGAGGAAGAAGGAATAGGTACATAGCTTACAATCAGGCCTACACCAGGGTTGCTTTAGTAAATGGGCCTGAGCCCAGGGCCATTTTAGGTATTTTGGTAGTGAAAGGAAGATAAATTTTCCCCGCAAGGAAAGGGAAGAGGGATCCAAATATCTCTCAGGCCCATAGCGTGTTACCAGTACATGCAAACCCTGCCTGGGCCTGAATTACAAAAGAAAGAGTTCCAGGCAGTTCACAGCTCACAAAAAGTTCACAACTAGTGTGATATTTCGTCCTTGAAAGAGGGCTTCTACAGAAGAAAGTTGTAGAATGGTAGCTGTGCTAGTTTTGAAGGCTGTTAGGTTGGGAATTTGACACGAAACATCAAACTAACTATGTTGTGAACTTTATATGTGCCTGGATCTCTTATCTTGGGTAGTCTGTTAGCTGATTATCCATTCCTTTGGTTATCAATGTATTCCTAAAATAAGTACTTTTTCGGTTCGGCAGTGAATTAGATCTTATAACATCGTTGGCTCTGAAAAGACTCATGAATTTTTCAAATTTAGCGTTTTGCCCTTTAGCAATAAGATGTTTTGCAATCCATCATATTCAATGAGTGTGATGCAAAAAAAAAAAAAAAAAAACAAATCCATGCCAAATGATGGAAGTATAATCATTATTTCCACCATTGGTCCACTTTTTCTAGCTCATTGTATGGACACAAGTCAAGTACTATACGTAACTATACCTCTAGGGCATGTAGGATGGAGTAACATTTTTATGGTTACTAATCTTTCAGTTTAATTAATAGGTAGTATAAGTTTAGCAATGAAAGTGACTAAAATGCAAATACAGACAGATTAGGATAAGCTTACCTCAGCCTTTTTCAATTTTCTAAAACTATTGCAAGGTTAGGAATCTTTGAATGGTACTTTTGACAGAAATGAAGAGAAGATACTAGCACCACACTTGATAAGTACCTGGAGGGCTAATTGATCTCCAGCTTCTGACATGAAGAACATACAGAGCAGGTTGACAATGCTGAAGAGAACAACTGCCGCTGACTGCACACCTTCAAAACCATTCGTCTGTCAACAAAATAAAAAGCTTTATTTATACCTAGGGATTTTTATAGTCCAATGAAACTACCCTAGGACAAAGGTCCTCTTCAGTCCAAACCACTGGTGATGAAAATAATAAATAATAAGATATTTAATAAAATATACTGTGCAGGTTGATAATGTGTAGAAAAGAACCATCCTGACTGCACACCTTCAAACCCAGTAGTCTAAAAATCAGAAACTGCTGTACGTAGGTACTGCATTGTATAGTGATGTTTTGTTTGGTAAAGTTGAACAAGGAATAGATATTTTTTTTCTTGGTGATACCTGTCATTGAAGCTGCTCTAGGGCAAAGGTATTTTTCAGTATAATAACATACATCGAAGAATACAAAGCAAGTTGCTAATGCAGAAAAGAACAACCACCATTGGCTCATATTCCTCATCCTTTTTTGTATGAAAAAAAAGGAAACTTCAGTAAAACCAAAAATATGCAGATCAATTTTCGGTTATACTGTAGTTTTCATTGTTGTTCATACACTAACAGGTCTGGGAGCTGCAATCAATGATGGTTGTTCTTTTCTGTATTAGCAGAGCAGCTTGCCCAACTATCCGGATCGATTCTCCTCAGGGATGGTTGTCTGTCAACTATACGGGACGGGAGGTCTCTTATGGGCTAGTGAACCTGAGATACCTGAGCCAACCCCCAGATCCCCCACTTCTTCATTCTGAG